GTGGTGGATTACATTGATTGATTTTCTAATGTTGAACCATCCTTGTGTACCTGGTATGAATCCTACTTGGTCGTGGTGTATTATTTTTTTGATAGGATGCTGAATTCTATTGGCTAGAATTTTGTTCAAAATTTTTGCATCTATATTCATGAGAGATACTGGTCTGTAATTTTCTTTTTTGTGATGTCTTTGCCTGGTTTTGGTATCAGCATTATACTGGCTTCATAGTGTACTGTAATTTAAAACATCAGAAACATCAAGAATTAAAGTATTTTATTTCTTTGTAAAAAACTCATCAAGAGTCAGAGGGACAGGGAATGCCGGGAGTCGGGGGGTAGGGAAGCAAGAATAATGGAAATGGAACAACCAGAACTGAAATAATGAGAATGTTGACACAATGTGGAAAATGTAACCAATGTAATTGAACATTATGTGTACAAATTGTTAAATGGGAACCTAATTTGCTGTGTAAACTTTCACCAAATTCTCAATAAAATATTTAAAAAAACAAAAACTTACCAAGAATACTTTGAACAGGGCTTGTCTTCTATGATATAAAGCAAGCATTCTCTTTATGTCTTGGTGAATTGTCATATTCCTTTCTAAGTATCGATCAGCTTCCAACATTTTATCCTTTGTGCTTTCAGTGTTGTGAAATACTTCTGAGAGTTCCTTTAATGTGAAGTTGTTTGCTGACATCATTCTTTTTTGTCACTTTCCTAAGTCGATAAGTTTACCTTTGCGAAGTTCCTCTGGCTGCATATCTAGAGTATGTAGAATAGCAGGAGCCCTAGTGGCGAAGTAGTTAAGAACTCAGGCTGCTAACCAAAAGGTTGTCAGTTCGAATCCACCAGCTGCTCCTTGGAAACCCTGTGGGGCACTTCTGCTCTGTCCTGTAGGGTTGCTATGAGTTAGAATAGACTCGACGGCACACAACAACATAGAATGGCGGCAGATTAGCATTCCCATGGTTGGTCATTTCTTCTATAACTCCAAACCAAAAAAAAAAAACCAAACCCGTTGCCATCGAGTCAATTCCGACTCATAGTGACCCTATAGGACAGAGTAGGAGCACCCCATAGAGTTTCCAAGGAGTGCCGGGTGGACTTGAACTGCAAACCTTCTGGTTAGTAGCCGTAGCACCTAACCACTACGCCATCAGGGTTTCCTGTATAACTCCAGTGACATTCAATTCGAATTTCACTGCCAGAGTTACCACTTTTTGTTTCTTTCTGCACTTTCATCTTTGTTAGCCAATTTTCTCTATCAGTTATTTATTTTTGTAAAAGTTATGTGGGTTTATCATTGGGAGACAAGGAGGCAACACAACTGCATGCCTTGCATTCATGTGTGAACTAAATAACAGATGCACAGTGACCAATCACTGACAAACTTTGAAAGAAATGATGTGATCAGTCACTGATCATGATGGACATTTGTTACTTATGTAGTGATTTGTGGACTGAAGAGCTAGCAGCAAAGTTTGTACTTTATGAAGTTACTCATAGTTAATGTACTGGGGTAAATGAAATGTGAGTCATGTTGGGGGAGTGGTGGTGTTTAAACCCTGATATTTGAAATTGGTGCATATCAGAAGCGTGCAAAGCAAGGACTGCCTGTATTTGACAAAGGACTTGTGTCTAGAATCTAAAGAGCTCACAAAACTCAATCATAAAATCCAACAACCTATTTAGAAAATGGACATGAATAGACATTTTGCCAAAGAGGATATGTGGATGGCAAATAAGCACTATTCCTGGCCATTAGGGAAACGCAAATTAAATCTACAAGAGAGATCACTACACATCTAGTAGAATGGCTAAAATAAAAAAATGGCGATAATACTAAATACTGGTGAGGATGTGGAGAAACTGGATATTTCATACATTGCTGGTGGGAGTTGTAAAGTGGTACAGCCACTCTGGAAAGCAGTTTGGCAGTTTCTTATGAAACTAAGGAGCTCTGGTGGCGCCATGGTTAAGAGTTAGGCTGCTAACCAAGGTGGGCAGTTTGAATTCACCAGCCATTCCTTGGAAACCCGATGGGACAGTTCTACTCTGTCTTATAGGGTTGCTATGAGTTGGAGTCGACTCGACGGCAACGGGTTTGGTTTGGGTTATAAAATGAAACATAAGCTTATCATGTGACCTAGCAATTGTACTCATGGGCATTTATCCCAGAGAAATAAACACTTATATTTATGAAAAACCTGTACACAAATGTTCATAGCAGCTTTATTCATAATAACCAAAACCTGGAAGCAACTCAAATGTTCTTCAGCAGATGAATGGTTAAACAAACCGTGGTACATGTATGTGATGGAATACTCCTCAGCGACAAAAAGAATTGAACTATTGATATGTGTAATAACTTGAATGGATCTCAGTGATAAAAGCCAATCTCAAAAGGTTACATAGTATATGATTCCATTTATATAACATTCCTCAAACACCAGAATTACAGAGATGAGAACAAATTAGTGGTTGCCGGGGCACAGGGACAGGAGATGGGGTGAGAAGATGAGGCATACCTATAAAAGAGGAGCACAGTGAAGTTCTTTGGTGGTAATGGAACAGTTCTGTAGCTTGATTGTTTTGGTGGTTACGTGAATCTATATTTTGGATAGAATTGTATGGAACTACACACACACACACTCACAAGTGAGTGCATATAAAAACTGGCGAAATCTGAGTAAAGCCTATAGTCTGGTTAACAGTCTTGTACCTTTGTCAGTTTTTTTGATTTTGATATTGTGCTGTCATTATGTAGGATACTACCATTAAGGAAAGCTAGATGAAGGGTACACGGTACACCCTACCTAACCTATTTTTGTCATGTCTTGTGGGTTTATAATTATTTCAAAGTAAAAAGATAAACAAAAAAAAAAGTCCTTTCTGAGGGCCAGACAGACATGCCATTTTTGTAAGGCAGAAGTGGTGAGTTTCTTATCCTGCTCACTTGCATGTCATTCCACAACTCTAATCCGTGACTCAGCCTTCCCAGACCTCTTTGTCTGGCCTTTGGTGACCATCCAGGGTCCTCTAGCTGGGTGCAGGGAGAACATTTCATTATTGTTTTACCTCAGACAAACAGGATGTGGCACCCCATAGTTGTGATTGCTCTGCTAGGAGCTTATCTTTTTTAAGATAGGCTGATTCATTTGTTTGTTTGGTGTTTCTATGGAGCACTTGGAACTAGGCAGAGAAACCCATAGGTAATAGATGAGCAGTTTGGAGCTGACAGTTGCTCATCATCCTGCTTTTTATAAATATTCGTGCCTTTTAATTTTTCTTGGAAGGTAGAGACAGAAACCACTGTAACCTTTCAGACTCTTCTTTGTAAGCACCATCCTATGAAATTGGGAAGAAAACAGTGTGTCACATGTATAAAATATCCAATTAAAGCCCTTTATTCACTTCCAACATAAATTCTTTTTAAAAATCTTTGTATGTCTGTGGGGTGGGGAGGGATTGAGAGAAAATTGTTTGAGATTTGAGTATAGTACATACAGTAATTTAGCCATTTCAAACAGTTGAACAAATTGTACACCTGTGGTTAGATTGACAGTAATGACGTGATTTCATCTTCATCAGCAGACTGCACCTGCTTTGACAACTGTTTACCCACAGTTTCCTATGCCTGGGTTTCCCTAAAATGTGGCTGGGTTGGGCAGGGCAAGGCCAAGATATTCCAAGTGTGAAAGTTAGAGAACCAGGGCTTGGATTATTCCACTTCAGACCACAGCTGTCCCATGTGAGATTAGAGGTTGAAGGTGAGCTTTCATTAGTTCCCCTGACCTCAATGATTACAAGAAGACTTTCCATACTTCTTGAATATTGGAAGTTGAACTAGAATAAGTGGACCTTGGAAAAGTGTGTTTCTGGAGCAGAGGCTATATGGGTAGGCTGTGAGCGCTCTCTGGGCATCTTAAATGAGGTTATGAGTTCTAGAGCAGCAGTTCTTTGACTGAGAATGGGCAACCATGCTAGACCACAGAGGTCTTGGGGAAATGGCTTCAGTCAGTTTGGTTAATCATGTCTCCACTGCTTTCCTTAGGCAAGGCAGGCTGAGGTAAAGCAGCTCTTCCGCCCCATTGAGGAGCTGAAGAAGGACTTTGCTGAACTCAATGTCGTCATTGAGACTGACGTGCAGATCATGGTACGGCTGATCAACAAATTCAATAGTTCCAGTTCCAGCTTGGAAGAGAAGATTGCTGCGCTCTTTGATCTTGAATATTACGTCCATCAGGTACTGTAGTTCTTTGTCCACAGCTCTGACCTTTAATTAAGAGCTCCAAAAATAAATCCTTCTCTCGTGAGCCCTAAGAAAATGGCATTAGCATCTTTGCTTCCCTCACAGGACATAGAGTATTGTTAATCTAGGTGAACGTCTGTTTTAATAAGAACATTCTTAGAGGCCAGCCTCTTTTGTATTTGGAGTGTTACCTCTTATATTTCCAACACTGAGGATACAATAGAGATAAAATAGACATGGTCCCTGTCCTCTGGAGCTCATAGTCTGGAAGGGGGAACAGACAAATAAGTAAATAATGAGATAATGAAAGATTGTGGTAAGGGCTTCAAAGGGCGACGTGGGCGTATGTAAGAGGGGAACTTAGCCTAGTCAGGGCATTAGGGAAAGCTTCTCTGAGAATGTGACATTTAGATTGTGCATTAAAGGATGAATAGGGGTTGGCTAGGTAAAGAGGAGGTGTTTTACTTTCTTAGTGCTGCTATAACAAATACCACAGAGGGTGGCTTTAACGAACAAAAATTTATTTTCTCAGTTTGCTGGTGTGTGCTGTCAAGTCGATTCTGCCTCACAGCAACCCTATAGGGCGGAGTAGAATTGCCCCACAGGGTTTCCGAGGCTGTAATCTTTATGGGAGCAAATCGCCAGGTCTTTTCTCCCATGGGTTTGAACTGCCAACCCTTTGGTTAGCAGCTGAGCGCTTAACCACTGTGCCATCAGGTCTCTTTTCTCACAGTTTAGGGGGCTAAAAGTCGAAATTCAGGGCACTGCCTCTAAGGGAGAGCTTTCTCTCTATGTCGGCCCTGGGAGTAGGTCCTTGCCTCTGTTCAGCTTCTATTCCTCAGTTCCTTGGTGATCTTCATGTGATGTGGCATCTGTCTTCCCCCATGGGTGCTTCCTTGTTTCTGTGCCTAATCTTCACCTTTTATATCTCAAAAGTGATTGGCTTAAAGTACACCCTACACTGATATGGCCTCATTAACATAACAAAGAAAACCCTATTCCCAAATGGGATTACATCCACAAGTATAAGGGTTAGTATTTACAACACATATTTTTTGGGAACATAATTCAGTCCTTAATAGGGGGTAGTAGAGTAGGGTTCAGCAGGCTACAGTCATGGACCAAATCTAGCCTGCCGCCAGCTTTTGTAAATAAAGTTTTATTGGAACATAGTCACACTCATTTGTTTACATATCGTCTATGGCTGTTTTCATGCTATAAGGGCAGAGTTGAATAGTTGTGACAGAAGCCATATGGCTCACAAAGCCAAAAATATTTACTATCAGGCCTTTTATAGAAAAAATTTGCCAACTTTTGTGTTAGAGCATTCCAGGCAGAGGAGACAGCATATACAGTCGTCCCTAGGTATCTGTTGGGAATTGGTTCCAGGATCCCCTCAGATACCAAAATCTGTAGTGTAGTATTTGCATATAACCTAGGCACATCCTCCCATATACTTTAAATTATCTCTGGGTTACTTAAAAAACCTAATACAGTATAAATGCTGTGTAGCTAATTGTTTCATCACAATTGAAGACCTCCTCTGGAAAGTAGCCTTTCTCTTCTGTGAGTTTCTTGAGCTCTCCTGGGAATACTGAAGCTGCCTGGACATCAGCCGATGCCGATTCTCCCATGATCTTGAAGTTCTTGAGGCTGTATCGCTTTACATAGCTAGCCAGCCATCCCTTACTAGCCTTAAACTCCTTCCTCTCATTCTCCTCAACCCCCTTACACTCAGCCTTTGAGGGATTGCTTTGACCACTTAACTGCTCTTTAGGAGCCATTTTTTCACAGAAACAAAGGGTGCACACAACACAAGCAGTGAAGTAACCAGACACGAGGCAAACAGTGCTCAAACAAGTGCTGGAGAGATACTGAGGATCTGTGAAGGGGCAGGGAGGCTACAGCAGGGTATGCCGACACATCACTTAATTTGAGTGGATTAAGCATGGTGTTCCGAGCTCGGCAAATTCAAGTTTTGCATTTTGGAACTTTTTTTTCCCCTCGAATATTTTTGATCTGCATTTGGTTGAATCCTCTGTTGTGGAACCCGTGGATATGGAGGGCCGACTGTACATAGATTCTGAGGCAGAGATGAGCCTCGATTGAGGACCTGGAAAAGATTAGAATGACTGGAGCACAATGACGAAAAGGTGGGGTAGCGTCGATAAAGAGGAGGAGTTAGGGAGTCAGAGAGGTGGCATTTGGTCGGTCATTCTATTTATGATTTTAACCTTAATCTTAAGAACCATTGGACAGTTTGAAGCAGGAAGTGACTGATCAGACTTGGATTATAATAGCAAATATTTATTGAGCATATCACACGCCAGGCACTGCTTCAAGTGCTTTGTATACATTAACTCTTAACTTCCACAAGTGCCTTATGAGTAGATACTACTATTAATCCCATTTTATAATTGAGGAATATGAGGAACAGGGAGGTTATGTGATTGCTCAAGGTCACCCAGCTAGTGAATAGTAGAGCTGGGATTTGCAACAAGGTCTGTCTGACCCTAAAACCCTGTGCTTATGACTGGTTGGCCTCTCACAGGATACTGGTACCTTTTGAATGAAGCTCAAAAGGGAACAGGTGGAGCTAAGGAGAAGGGGCCAAGAGGACCCGTTGATTTATTAATAAATAGATTTATTGGGTACTTGCTCCTAGGCACTCTTCCAGGCACTTGAATAAAATTGGAGCTTACATTCTAACAGAGCATGCAGACAATAAGTGTCACAAGTAAATTATAAATAATGTATTAGAAGATGATAAGTACTATGGGAAAACAAAATATAGAGCAAGATAAGGATTGGCAGTGTTGGGGAGAAGCATTCCAGGAAGGAAGAACAGCAAGTCAAAAGCTCTAAGATAGGGAGTATGCCTAGTGTCTGAGGAGCTGCAAGTAGATCATTGTGGCTGGAAATGAGAGAAGAGGGAAGGAAAAGTAGATGAAGCTCAGAGATAATGGGAGGAAGAGCATTGAGGACCTTGTAAGCCATGAAAAAAAGTGAAATTGGATATTGTTGGAGACTGTGGAACAGAAGAATGACATAATCTGACTTACTTTAAAAAGGATCTCTTTAGCTGCTGTGTTGAGAACTAGCATGGAGGTGGGGAGCATGGGTAGAACCAGGGAGACCAGATAGGAGTTTTTTGCAGTATTGTAGATGATGGCTCAGGAAGGCCATGTAATCATAATCAGAGACTTATTTGAGATCCTCATCAAGACATATATCCTCAGCGTCCTCCCAAGCATCCTTGTTCTCGATAAAGTTGGCTAAAAGACAGCTTTTTCTTTCTTTAGGATTTTGCCAGCTTTTGTTATGAGAGAGGATGCATGTGTACTCTGTCTGCAGCCTCTTTATCTTCTCTTTCTGCTCATAAGTCTTGCTCAGGTCTCAAATAGGAGGACTGTGATTCCCTTAGGTAAAAAATTGACCTGGGTTCTCTTTCCTCTTTCCAGTCTTTCTCTCCAGGGTAAAAAAATGAAAACTCCAACAGCATTCCCATTATAGATATTTAAAGGATGGATCCTAGGGGATATTGGCCAACTCAGTCATGCTGTGATGTTGACAGCTTTTATTTTTTAATATCGTAACATACTTGGATGGATCTTTAGGTATCAAGCTTCTATAGGCTCTTGCTTTAGTTGCAGCATGAAAGGCCAGGATAACTGGAGAGCTTATCATACCTAGAATGGAAAGAGTGTACAGGAGGCTTGGGCTAGCAGTGCTCTAACAAAGTTTTATTTTTTCCCCCTGCAGGCCTTCAAGTCATCTGGCAATGTCATCCCTAGGATGACATTCCATTCTGCTTTCATGGGTCACTGGGTAAACAATTTCTTGGATAACACTAGATTCAACCAGAGGTCAGCCCAGGAACCAGCCCCCCTGGTAGAGGCCAAGCTTGTGCTTCTTGGCAGAAGGGTCATAAATATTCTAGGTCATTGGCCTTTTGATTGGAAGTGTAAAGTCCTTGGTTTAGTCTGGTCTGTCAGGCTGCCATGAAACAGTGCTAAATTGAGATTTCACAGGAGGATTGAGGGATATATTTTGGCCTCAAGTTCCAGTTGTGATGGGGAATTGGGGTTACATAGTGCCAGCTTTGAGAAACATAGGACTTTTCAAGCCAGGAGACTCACTAGTCCACTCTCATTCCACTGAATGGTAGTTTTGAGGAGCCATGAGCTTCAAAGACTTGAACTGGGTCTGCCCAAGGATTCCTCACAGCTGTATTTGAATTATTAAACAGGATTTGTGAAAAGCAAAACCTTGTGTATGGAAAACAGTTCGTGAGTTATTTATGAGGACCGGCCTCTGTCTGCCCCATCTACCCTGGGGCGGTATATTTACTTTCCCTCTCGTGACTCCTCAATTATTTACCACCATTTCTCCTGTCATGGTTTGAATTATGTCCCCCCAAAAATGTGTGTATCAATTTGGCTAGGCCATGATTCTTGGTACTGTGTGATTTTCCTGTCTGTTGTAAACCTGCCTCTATGATGTTAATGAGGGAGGATGGGTGGCAGTTGTGTTAGTAAGGCAGAACCAGATCTACAAGACTAGATTGTGTCCTGAGGCGATCTCTTGAGATATAAAAGACAGAAGTGAGCAGTGAGACAGGGGGACCTCATACCATCAAGAAAGCAGTGCCGGGAGCAGAGCGCATCCTTTGGACCGGGGTCCCTGCGCCGAGAAGCTCCTAGTCCCGGGGAACACTGAACAGAAGAAGGCTGATGGAGACAAAAAGTCTTCCTCTGGAGCTGACACCCTGAATTTGGACTTTTAGCCTACTTTGACTGTGAGGAAATAAACTTGCTCTTCATTAAAACCATCCACTTGTGGTATTTCTGTTATGGAAGCACTAGATAACTAAGACATCTCCCTTTCTCAGTTTCCTGTTCTCTCACTGTCTTGTCAGTGTTCTGGTTCTTTCCTTTCCTCTTGAGTGTTGACACAGTTCTCCTTCTGTCTGCTTTCTAATGTGCTCCCGCCCTCTGCCTTGGGTTCTTGTCTACCTGTCCTGTCCCATCCTAAAGGCAGCCCGGGAAGAGTTCTGGCCCCAGACTCCGATGAAGAGCTGTGGACCTGGATTCTGGTCATGCCTTCCTCCTTTGTGATGCTGGGCAGAACCCTGCTTTTGAAGCTTGGTCCTTCAGGTGTGCAGTGGACAGAACGACTCTTTTCTTCCTCACTTCCAGTGAAATTATAAATGAGAAAAACCTCAGAAAGGCCAAAATGCTTATATAAATGTCAGCATTTATATCGTACTGAATTGTCATTGTAGTAGTAAAGATAAGCTGAATCTAGAACAGAACCTCTGTGGTTGGGGGCTGTGTTGCTTTGTGGTTGACATAGTAGCAGCTGCTCTGCTAGGAACTCATACCAATTTTGATAAGGTGACTGATCCAGATATGAAATGACAGGACTCTGAGCCATGGTTTTGTATCTGGAACACCTAGAGGAAGGGGAATCAAAGGACAGGCAGTGAATTCTTAGATTTTAAAATCAAAGCATGTGAGGAAGGAAGGCTCAGTAAGTATTGTTTGTGTTTATGTCAGCAAAGCACCCAGCTTTGAATCTCCCTAGTTAGCTGGTTGTGGCCTGTTAATCATTCCTCTTCCTAAGGACTGATTGGAGCAGAAAAGTCCAGGCTTTGACTTGTGATCACATGGCATAGCAGATTTGATGCATACTTCACGACCTTGGATTAACCATCTCTTCAGGTCTGTGGTGCCAAGGCCCCTTGCATTTTGTTGGCACTGACACCTCAGTTTGCCTTTTTGATTCATAATGGAGTTTATTTCAGGAACTTTTTTTCCCCCTGCTGTCTTTATTTATTTTTTTCTTTTTTTTATTGTGCTTTAAGTGAAAGTTTACAGTTCAAGTTAGTTTCTCATACAAAAATTTATACACACATTGTTATGTGACCCTAGTTGCTCTCCCTATAATGTGACAGCACACTCCTCCTTTCCACCCTGGATTTCCCATGTCCATTCAACCAGTTCCTGTCCCTTTTTGCCTTCTCATCTCGTCAGGAACATTTTTTATGATCAAATTTATTCAATGATTATTTATTGAGCACCTAACTATATGCCCAGCACTATTCTAGTCAATGGGGCTGCAACAGTGGACAGAGAGACAAAAGCCCCTGCTCTGTGATTATATCAAAATGTGTAAGAGTGATTTTCCAAGTGGTAAAAGCAGGTTAGGTCCATCTAAAAATATTGGCAGTGTCAAATACAATGCTGTCCTTTCAAACTCAATTTCTCTGTCATAGCCCTTTTCCAGTTTGGAGGCAGAGGCAGAGACATAGTCAGGTAGGAAACTGCTTGTGGAATCTGGAGGGAAAAGGTAGGTAGAAGTCACGCTGTTGTTGGGCTCTAGCTTCCTGAGTTTTCCTGATGATTTGTAAAGTGGAATCATGTCTTAGTTATCTAGTGCTGCTATAACAGAAATAGTACAAGGAGGATGACTTTAACAAACAGAAATTTATTCTCTCACAGTTTAGGAGTCTGAAAGTCCAAATTCAGGGCACCAGCTCTAGGGGAAGGCTTTCTCTGTTGGCTCTGGGAGAAGGTCCTTGTCGTCAGTCTTCCCTTGGTCTAGGAGCTTCTCAGTGCAGGGATCCCGGGTCCAGAGGATGTGCTCCACTCCTGGTGCTTCTTTCTTGGTGGTATGAGATACCTCTGACTCTCTGCTTGCTTCTCTCTCTTTTTATCTCTTGTAAGATAAAAGGTAATGCAGACCACATCCCAGGGAAGCTCGCCTTACATCAGATGAGGGCTGTGACCTGAGTAAGGGTGTTGCATCCCACCCTAATCCTCTTTAACTTAACCTGATCTTGCCTCCTTAATCACTGGTAGAGGTTAGGCTTTATAACACATAGGAAAATTACATCAGATCACAAAATGGAGGACAACCACATAATACTGGGAATCATGGCCTAGCCAAGTTAAAACATATTTTTGGGGGACACTATTCAATCCATGACAAAGTCCAAATTCCATCCTGGGGCAAAATTGCTATTCATCTGTGAAATCTAGAATACCCAAGTTATCTGCTTCCAAAGTACAGTGGTACAACAGGGACAAGGTAGACACTTCTATTACAAATGGGAGAAATTGGAGGGAAAGAAGGGATAACAGGCACCAAGCAAGCCAGCAGAACACATTACACTAGCTTTCAAAGCTTGAAAATAATCCTCTGTTTTCTGAGACCATTTAGGCAATGACCCTGCCTTCCAGACTCTGGGTGCTGGTCACACTCTCCAGATTCTGGGTTGAGGCCCCTTGGCCCTGGGCTTCAGCTTCGCCTTCCAGGCCCACTGGGATGGCAACTCTGCACCCTTGGATTTGGGCAACCCTATTCTTCTAGTCTGTCTGAGTGTCAACCCTACCCCCTTGGCCCTGGTAGGCCCCATTTTTCTGCCCCTTGTGCATGGCAGCCCCTCCCCCTCAGCTTTGGGCAGCAGATCTAGCCCCATTCTGCTGGCAATTGGGAAAGGCAGTCCCACACTCCGGAACCTAGTTGGTGAACATTGACTCTTTGAAACCTAGGAGGCCATGGCCCCACCCTTTGAGACCCAACAGGCTGTGGTTCCACCCTTTGAGACCCCAGAGATTGTGGTCCTACCCTTTGAGACTGAGGCAGTTCTTCTTCCTGTGCTCCTTGTCTTCTGGTTCCTTGTCTTCTTGACCCCTCGGCCCCTCAGGCCTCTTTGGCCGGCCAGCATCTGCCCTGCTCAGACAAGTGTTACAAAGCTCTTTAACTCTACCAGTAAGTGCCTGGAGGCACCCCACTCTACCAGAAAACCTCGGCTGGAAGGCACTCAGCTCTCTTGCTGCGTAGGTCAGCAAGCCTCGCTCCACTGATAAGTGCCAGAGGCACCCCACTCCACCAGGAAGCCTCCTGCCAGAAGGCGCTCAGCTCTCTTTCTCCTTGGGTTGACTCCCTTGCCATCTCACAGTGGTCTCCTGGTTCTGCTGCAGCTGTTTCTCTGCTGCTGCTTTTCACCATCTGTGCCATCTCTGGTGTTACAGCTCTCCTTGCTTCCTTCTGAGCTCTCACCAGAATTGTCTTTGATGTTCATAATTCCACCAACAGTCTAGGCTTTCACTATTAGGCACTTTAAAACTCTTCTAACCTCTACCCATTACTCAATTCCAAAATCGCTTCCACATTGTAGGTATCTGTTTAGAGCAGCACTCTACTCTCATGGTACCAAATTGTGTTTTAGTTATCTAGTGCCGCTATAACAGAAATACCACAAGTGGATAGCTTTAATGGTCTCTCACAGTTTAGGAGTCCAGAAGTCTGAACTCAGGGCACCAGCTCCAGGGGAAGGCTTTCTGTCTCTGTTAGCTCTGGGAGAAGATCCTTGTCATCAGTCTTTCCTTCGTCTAGGAGCTTCTCAGCACAGGGACCCCAGGTCCAAAGGATGGACTCTGCTTCTGGCTCTTTTTTCTTGGTGGTATGAGATCTCTCTCCTCTCTGCTCACTTCTTGTCTTTTATATCCCAAAAGAGACCGACTCAAGATACAACCTAATCCTGTAGATTGAGTCCTGCCTTATTAATGTAACTGCCTCTAATTCTGCCTTATTGACATCATAGAGGTTAAGATTTATAACACATAGTATAATAACATCAGATCACAAAATGGAGGACAACCACATAATGCTGGGAATCATGGTAGCCAAATTAACACATATTGTTGAGGGACACAACTCAATCCATAACAGATCAGCATGTGGATAAGAGGCAGCCTTTCTAGTGACAAAGATATCTTCAAGGGAGACTGCAGCTTCTATATGGGGAAAACAGGATCCAGTGACTTTTCTGAGGAAAGTGAGTCATCTTATTCTAGGATACTAATGAAACCTGGGGAACAACATCCCATATAGAATAAAAGAGAGTCAGTCTGTACTCAAGGCTTTGGAGCTTAAATGATAGCCTAGACCAATGTAGTCCAATAGAACTTTCTATGATGATGGAAATGTTCTGCACTGCCCATTATGGTAGTCACTAGACACTAACACAGGCCTAGGCAAAAGCCTTTCAGAGGCTTTTGTGAAGATCTTATCATGAATGTTTTCAGATTCAGTCACCCTTAGAATGTCTGAGGTGAGAGGAGGGAACAGGAGGTGTTGTTGTTATTCCTCTTCTTATATTCATCTGTCACCCCCACTACAGGGCCCCTTTTATAGTTCTTGGCTTCTAATTAGAAATCACCTTTTTTTTTTTTTTTTAATGTCTCTGCTGCCCCCACTGCCCTCATTGGAACTGGACATGAACAGGAAGCATGACATCATTTAGTGGTGCAAATGACACCAGATTCTTTGTGTTAACAGCTTGTACATTACAAGTAAGCTTTGTGACTCATTACAGTGTTGGAATTTTCCAGAACATGTTTGGCATAAGCAATAGCTAGGTGTCATTTCCATTGATTCCCACGCAGGTGCTCATAAATTGTGTTAGATGAATTAGAAGCTCTGAAATTTAAGATTATTAAAATTTTTTGTTTTTGAAAACCCTTTCCTAGTTAGTCAGAAAGGCCACCATTGCTTTTTACTTGGTTTTTAAATTTGTTTTTGGATGGTCACCAAAAGAAAGTATATAAGAAGAGCTCTTCTTTCCTTGATGATTGTACTGTACTAAGCAGTGCCTTTGTTGCAGATGGATAATGCTCAAGACCTGCTTTCCTTTGGGGGCCTTCAAGTGGTGATCAATGCCCTGAACAGCACAGAGCCCCTGGTGAAGGAGTATGCTGCATTCGTGCTTGGGGCTGCCTTTTCCAGGTGAGCAGTATGGATGAACCTCTCATTGGCCCAAATGGTTTGGGCCCTTCGGGTGAAATCTAGCTTTATTCTTCACCTGACTGGATGGGAAAAATGTTACAGTTGAGCTCCTGCACATCCTTACCCACATTTCAGAGTTATCCCCAGGAAACTAGAGTAAGAATTTGCCCTCATCCCAAGTAGATACGAATTTTTACCCGTGTTGTCACCATCTATGACTTCTGGTACCCCCGTCCTATATATATGGACATTGAATAACACATTTTTGGTTGCGTTCTCTGTTTCATTCAAAGCTGATATAAAATAGACAAACCAGAGAGAGTAGAGAGGGAGGGCAATAAACCCCAGGAGTTGATCCTTTTGACAGTGAAGCTACATCTTGTGATGAATAAATGAAGAACCTGACCAAGGAAAGCCTGTTCAGGGGACTGTGTCTTCCCCTAGTTGTTTAGAGCCAGTCAACATGCGTCCAGGTTATTGTGCTCTCTGAGTTGAGAGTTGTTTAGAATTTCAGTTAGTCTGACTTGTGCTAGAAGACTTATCAGGTAAGAGGAGTGGGGAGGCAGCATCTCTCAAGAGTGAATGCAGAAAGATACGTGGGCACTACAGCATTATACTCATCCTAAAAAGGTCAAGATGTCTTCATGCTGCAGTTGGTTCATTGGAGCTGTAATTACTCTCACTTTTGAAAATCTGCTCTCTAGACCATTTGTGCCTCTAAAATGGGAACCAACATTCTCATCCCTGATGCAATGACATGGGTGGTGGCTAATAGGAGTTACCTGGCTTGACTGCAGGGACCGTGATGTTGCAGGAGAAAGGCTATTCTGAATATATTTGCATTGGAGGCTTTGTTTTGAGAAGATTTCCTTTTCTTTTCATCCATTCTCATCTTTATTTAATTAGAACCTCAGTTTGATACCTTCTCATTCTGAAAGGCTCCAGCATCTTTTCCGGGTATATTGAGGGACAGGGCTGAGAAGCTAGGAAGGGTTGTTGTTCTGTGAGGCGAGGCTGAGAGCGCTGCAGGCCTTTCTCGTTTCCCTTATCAGTACACTGCCTTGGTCTTCCAGCCTGGTTGTCCTGTGGTTGTGTTGTTGACAGGAAAGGCTGGGGCCTCCAGGGAGAGTCCACCTTCCCTGGTGTCACCTCTCAGAACCAGAGAGGCTCCTGGGAAGCCCTCCCCTAGAAAGAGAGAGGATCTGAGTTTGTTATTGGTCACTGTGGTTTCGGCCTTGGGGAAGTTCAGGGTCTCCCCTAATGAGGCTTTAGAGGTTTGAACTTGTACTGAGGCTCAACTTTTGCTTTCAAGCCAGAAAAGAACTGAATCAAACATTATTAATCTATCTCCAGACCCTTCTTGAAAATCTTTTCTGTAATGTCAAGTGCCCTCTTTCCACCTTCAGTCTGAACAAATTATCCTACATGTCTCTTGCTGCTGCTTCTGGAAATACATTTCTTGGGGGAAACTGTGTAGCATCTTGGTGTCACATCCTAGTTAAGGAGGACTAACTAAATGACTTGAGAGGCATGCATTGGGCCTGCTTAGCAAGCCATAACTTACCCAGGGACTATGCCAATATGTGGCATTAAGACTTTTCTGTGATTGTATTAGCTTAAGACTGTGTTAACATATATGCAGCATCACTAAAATTTAAATAGAGATAAATATAAAATATTGCAATTTAGTGTTTTGGTGGCAAGCAAACTGCTGTATTCAAAATGTTCTAGCTGGGCTTTTGATGACTCACTGGAGAGCCGTTACAGTGACAGCATGGTATGGCGCCAGAGCTTTTGGAAGCCAACAGCAGGCTCCTGAACATCATGAAAGTGTCAGTGTTTTATGCAAAGAGGAATTTGATGCAAGGTAAGAATATTTCTATGCAGAGAGGCAGGTTTCTGTGCTCTAGTCTGATATTCATTATTTATCTTGATGTCCTAAGTATTGACTCTGTATGTCCCTACCTGTGCACAGTCACATGTGCGCATACATATCACACACATGTACATGCACACAGACAGTGACTGAATGAGCTGGCTCTTTGTCAAGAGGGTATTCAACGGAAAGTGAGCACCTTAGAATCATGGAGTCCCAGGGCAGGGAGCATTAGGCAGAAGTCATTCCTTCTAGCTTTCTGCTGATGGGCAAGAGTACTGCCCCATTTGTCCATATGTTTTGGTATTTGGGAGGACTAGGCAGACCACGTGTGGGAGCCCTGGTGGCACAGTGGTTAAGAGCTTAGCTGCTAACCAAAAGGTCGGCAGCTCAAATCTGCAGCCGCTCCTTGGAAACCCTGTGGGGCAGTTCTTCTCTGTCCTATAGGGTCGCAATGAGTTGGAATCAATTCGATGGCGATGGGTGTTTTTTCTTTTTTTTTTTTAAAGCAGACCACTGGACCTGGAGTCAGAAAATCTGGGTACAAGTTCAGTCTCTAACATTTGCTGGCTTTGTGCCCGTGGACAAGTGATTTTACATTTCTAAGCCTCAGCTATTTCTTTTGTTAACTGGGGACAATAATAGATGTCCTGTGCATTTCAGCCCTAAGATTGAGTGAGTTTCAAATAATATACAGTAAAAGAAAAAAAAAAAAAAGCCAAATCAGTTGCTGTGGAGTTCATTCTGACTCATGACGACCTCATGTGTTGCAGAATAGAGCTACACTCCGGGGGGTTTTCATGGCTGTGACTTTTTCAATCATCAGACGTTTCTTCCAAGGTGCCTCTGGGTGGGTTTGAACAACCAACCTTTACAGTAAGTCCTGTGAAAATGGTTATAAAGCACCTGTCAGTTATAAGGTGGTATAGTAACATCATCATCTTCTTTATTATGATGTTTCCTTTTTCCTGTGAGTTTTCACTGTAAGAAAATTCTTAGGTTAAACCTAAATCATCTTTCTATATTACAGACCTTTATCCTCCTCATTTTCTCTTCTCCCTGTTCTACCACGTGTCTTTTGGTGCTAATCTTGCCACTTTTTGTAGGTGTTTATTTGCCTGCCTGGGTTAATTGCTTAATAAGGCCTCTGTGCATTTCTATGGATAAAGATATCTTATCCCTGGTGTTAAGCATGATGCAATTATTCCAAGATCAAGAAGAGATTGTTGACATAAATGTAACTGACATGACCACTAAATGTTACAGGGCCGCTGAAGTAAAGTTTGTTGTTCCTCTTTTTGAATATTATTCACACTTATTTATGGGTCACATACACTCATTTTCTGCTGTTTGTTGCCCAAGCCCTTGCATAAGGAGATTTGAGGTTTGGGGGAGGCTGATGCTTTTTTAGCAGCTTCATCTTCTCATGGTGTCATTTTTTTTTTTAAACCTTTCTCCTCGTTCAGGTCAGTTGTTTTCATTAGCCTTTCTGTGACCTGATTTCCTCTCACGATGGCACCTGTGTGTGTCTCCAGTCTGACCTACCAGGAGTTTCTGGAGTCCCAGACAAATCATTTGTGTTTCTGTATAAGGGAAGTCTCAGCAAGGCCTTGTGAATTTCAGAGCCCATGAAGCCTTCTGTGATCTGGTTTTGGTTTTACTACTCAGCAAACTAGCTGCCTGCTTTTGGTTTCCTCTTGTCTCCCTGCACATAGCCTTTACCTTTTAATTGTGTTGAATTAACCTATCAAGACTGGTGTCCCTGCCCCAGGTATCACTGGCTTTTGCTGTCCTCATGCCCGTGCCTCAGTCACCTTTGGTCTCCTACATCCATCTTTAACAGCTCACATTCTCATCTGTACATGTATGAATTACTGTGTAATTATATGGGCTTGTAAGTGTTCACTGTACACAATGCTTTTGTTTGAACTAGTCCACAGTTTGCAAGATGTTGTGGAACTGAGGTCTGTGTGAGGGATGTACACATACCATCCATCATGGTGAGGTTATGTTCTGTTGTGATGGATCCCTGGAACAGGATTCTCTTCTAACTTCTCTCTCCTTGGCATCTTCTTGGAAGATTTGCGTTACGCATATCTGTTTCTAAAATGAATGGTCTCCCCTGCACCCCCTCACCCTGGGCTTTATTGCCTCTCTCGTGTCCTCAGTTGTGCTCTCCCTACTGAGGTTTTACTTCATTTTTAACCATTTTCCCTGTGTCATATCTGCATCTCATCTGTATCTTCTCCTCTTGCAACTTGATGGCTTTTGTAAGCTTGCTGGAACACAGCATTCTTAACTCTTTACTTCTGCCATCCACTGGATACTTTGAAATTCACTTCCCATTTTTTCCAAAATCTTGTATTCTCTGACCACCCCCATTATCTCTTCACATCCTCATCTCTCCTGGTGAGCATGCTTTTTTGTCCTTGTTGTAACATTCAGCCCCTGCACGCCTTCCTGTTTTCCCCATCACCACCAGTGTGCCTCACTCTTTTCTCTCTCTCTAGGCTTCTTCCTCTTAGCTTACAGGTGTATTCAGGTTGCCTGTTCACTAACCCCTGTCCTGCCACCAACCTATTATTCATTGACTTCTTTTACTTCCAAGCTTCTTGAAAGAGTGGGAAAAAAGTGAGGTCCAAGTGAGTACAGATGAGCATGATGTTAATTTTCTCAAAACCATTATTCCTATAATATGGTTTCTGTCCCTACCATCCTGAAATTTTCCAAAAATGCTTTGACATCATTACCATCTCTGTAGCAGTAAACAATGGTGAGCACTACTTTCCTTTGGAAACTTTACTTCTTGACTTCCATGTCGTTGTAGTCTCTTGGTTCTTGGATGTCTGTAATGAATTACTCCCTCTCCTTTTCTGGGAACTATTTGTAGCTATCCATCAAAATTCTTCTGAACTTGTCCCTCTTCTCTCCTTTCATATTCTCGCCCAAGTGGCCCTGTCTATTCCATGGATTCAAATCCTCGCTCATTGTGGATGAATTCCATGTCTACATTTAAGTCTAGCCTTTCTCCTGAGGTCCTATCCTCCATTTCTACCAGACTGTCAGATTGTACCTCAAACTCAAGGAGAAATAAATGGAACTCATTTGTTCCCCTCACAAACTA